CCTCGCCCGGCTATTTTTTGTATTTCTTAGTACAGACGGGGTTTCACCGTGTTAGCCAGGATGGTCTCGATCTCCTGACCTCGTGATCCGCCGATCTCGGCCTCCCAAAGGGCTGGGATTACAGGCTTGAGCCACCGCGCCCGGCCAAGAAAAAAATCTTTTTAACTTTCAAAATTACGCATAACATACTGTGGACCTGTACGTATCTCAAAGGGTTGCTGTAAGGATTAAATAATATGTGTAAAACAACTAAAACAGTGCCTAGCACGCAGTAAATACCGTTATTATTGATCCCTACTATTGAGAATTCTAGGAATTGGGGATCCAGGTTATTTTAGAGCCTGACCTGGTCGTAGTCCTCAGGGCCAAAGGGCGCATCCTGCTGTAAAATATGGTGCAGCCGAGCCTTCACCCGGTGCTGGCAGCTGCTCAAAGAATCCCCATCGCTGTCCAGTAGCCCATTCATGTTGGCACTCTTCACCATTTGCACCAAAATAGGTGTCAGCTCCCCTTCTAGAGCCAGAAGGCCCTAAAGAGAAAGCACAAGGTCTATTTGTTTCCCTTGCAGGTTAGTATCCCTAGGCCTAGATGTTCCCAGGGATCGAATGGGACCTGGTTGAAGAGATGGGGCCTACAATCACTGATTATTCTCAGCTCATTCTCAGTAGTACAAAATGGGTCCAATACATGCAGAAACTTCTGAGTTGGCCTACAAGCACCCTGAAATGCTCCAACTGGTTCTCCAAACTCTGCTTCTCTACCTAATGGAAACTGGGACTATAGAACTGTAGTATGCACCTTGGCGAAGGCAGCAGCAGTCATCTGAACACGACCCTCATCAGAGGCATAGATCTTGAGGTCGTGGCGGAAAGTGCTATGGAGACGAAGCAGCCTACAACCAGGGAAGCCAGCATAGTCACCTGGGGACAAAGCGGGGGACCAGGAATGGACTGCTATAAATACTCGTGGAAGAAAAAATATTCATTTCCCCACTGTCTCTGTCACTTCATTTTCCCCAACTTACTCTCTAATCATTTTTATCCCGGCCCTGTTGTGTTTACTCCACAAAACACTCACCCTGTCCTCCAGGGTACATGCAGCGAAAAGCTCGCCCCAGCTCCTCAGCCTGAACACGGCCAGCAGGAGTGAGTTCTCCACCCCACTTCAGTACCAGCAACAGAGATGGGGCCAGAGCCTCCCTCTGCAGATCTGAGGGAATAAGGGGCAATGAATGCTCTAGATCTAAGAAAAGTAGTGGGAACGTCTAAATGTTAGGTCTTCTGAGGAGGCCAGAGAGATAATTTGGGGTATAGGTCATCTACAGGCTCAAGTAAAAGAGATCTGGTGGGGAGAGAAGATAGACAAAAATAAAAAGAACACAAGATCTGAGAGGTAATGGTAAGGGGGACTACATCTTACCTTGCCCCTCATTAGACGCTTTTACTCCATGAGGGTAGTAAGTCAATTGTACCTTCCGGTTTATACCTGAGAAGTGACCATACCTGCAGGATAAAGTCACAGTTTATTTTCTGTTCCAGCACCCCAACTCTCACTGTTATTGGCTCCCTTTTGCTATCCCCTTTCTCACATCTCCAATACGGACTTCAGCTGCTCTAGTTTTCCGGTCTTCTCCTCGATCTCACCACCTGGTTCTTTCTCCAGTTCAGCCAACAACAGCCTTGTGATATCCAGCACCTCCTAGAGGAAATAAGGTATCCATGCAGAAGGCCAAGTCCTAGACAGTTACCTTTTGATCCCAGTCTTTTATCAAGACTCCCAATGCCATACCCTCTCTCTCTCTCATAGCACTGCTCCTCCTGGCCAGATTCACTACCTTACCTGGAGCTGCTCAGGTCGCTTGAGTTTTAATTTCCCTGTCTTGTAGCCACCATGTTTTTCAAACAGAGCAAAAAACCTGAAGAAATAATGAGAAGTTTCAGTGTGGGATGAGACAGTCAAAGCCTCTAGGAGTTGCGCCCCATGCAGTCTTCCTCACGAAAACCTATTTGTGTAAATTAGGACACTCTTCCTACCTTGGGTGTTTCACTTCCATCTTCATCTTCTGCTTGGGAGTACGATCCCCATGACGAATAATTGCAATGACACAACGAAGTTCCATCCTAAGATCATAAATGTTATCAGAGCCTCTCCCACATCCCCATCCCACCTCCTGTCATCACATTACTTGACATGTCAAAAAATAGGGGGGCTGAGCAGGGCTCATGCCTGTGATCTCAGCACTTTGGGAGGCTGAGATGGGAGGATCACTTAGGCCCAGGAGAAACATAGGGTGAGCATAAGCAACATAGGGTCAGCCTGTCTATAAAAAAGTTAAAAGAAAAAAAATTATCCAGGCATGGTGGCATACGCCTGTGGTCCCAGCTATTTGGGAGGCTGAGATGGGAGGATCACTTGAGCCCAGGAGGTAGAGGCTGCAGCAAAACATTAGTGCACCACTGCACTCCAGCCTGGGAGACAGAGCCAGACCCTGTCACCAAAAAAAAAAAAAAAAAAAAGAAAGACAATGAAAAGGAAACTGTGATTAGGAATATAAATGGAGGCTGGGCGTAGGGGCTCATGCCTATAATCCCAGCACACTGGAAGGCTGAGGTGGGTGGATCACTTGAGCTCAGGAGTTCAGGATCAGCCTGGTCACATGGTGAAACCCTGTCTCTACTAAAAACACAAAAATGGCCGGGCGCAGTGGCTCAAGCCTGTAGTCCCAGCATTTTGGGAGGCCGAGACGGGCGCATCACGAGGTTAGGAGATCGAGACCATCCTGACTTACACGGTGAAACCGCGTCTCTACTAAAAAATACAAAAAACTAGCCAGGCGAGGTGGCGGGCGCCTGTAGTCCCAGCTACTCGGGAGGCTGAGGCAGGAGAATGGCATAAATCCGGGAGGTGGAGCTTGCAGTGAGCTGAGATCCGGCCACTGAACTCCAGCCTGGGCGACAGAGCCAGACTCCGTCTCAAAAAAAAAAAACAAAAAAAAACAAAAAACACAAAAATTAGCCAGATGTGCTCACCTGAACCCAGGAGGTGGAGGTTGCTGTGGGCCGAGATCATGCCACTGCACTCCAGCCTGGGCAACACAGCAAGACTCTGTCTCAAAAAAAAAAAGGCAGAGAATATAAGTGGAGTTAAGAAGACTGTGTATAAGAGGCCCAGGCTCCGTTAGTCAGATAGTGTGGGGTCAGGAAGTAACCAGTAGCCTGGCTGAAGGAGTCCCATGGGTCTTAAGTAGGTTACTCCAGACCTTTTACTTTTGCTTACATAGTGCCAGATGTAGTAGGAACAATGGGAATGTCCTCAGCCTCTGTGGGGATGGACCATGGAATCTGGAACTGTGGGGCAAGCTCCCGCATTATGGTATTCCTAGAAAGAGAAACAAAGAAGCCATGTAAAAACGAATAAACCAGAACTACTCATATGAATGAAGCTCACAAAAACAAGCAGGCTGCAGGCAGAAGAATATGTTGATATAAAGTCTAAAAACATACAAACAAATACCCATACATAGACAGTAAAAATATAAATAAATATATGGGAATGACAAACACCAAATTACGGATTGTGGTTCCCTCTGGGGATGAGGAGGGGATGTTACCAGGGAGGAGTATATAGGGGCTTCAATTATATATATATATAAAAATATATATACACACATACACATACATCTATACATACACACATATGTGTGTCTACACATATGTATCTATACATGTATGTGTATATATACATATATACGTACATATATACATATATACACATATGTGTACCTATATATGTAGTGTGTGTGTATGTGTATATATCTATATATATATATATTTTTTTGAGACAGAGTTTCACTCTTGTTGCCCAGGCTGGAGTGCAACGGCATGATCTCAGCTCACTGCAATCTCCACCTCCTGGGATCAAGCAATTCTACTGCCTCAGCCTCCTGAGCAGCTGAGATGACAGGGGCCCACCTGACCATGGCTAATTCTTTGTTTTTGTTTTGTTTTGTTTTGAGATGGAGTCTCACTCCTGTCACCCAGACTGGAGTGCAGTGGCATGATCTCACCTCGCTGCAATCTCCGCCTCCCGGGTTCAAGTGATTCTCCTGTCTCAGCCTCCCAAGTAGCTGGGATTACCAGTACCCGCCATTATGCCGGCCAGTTTTCTTGTGTATTTTTAGTAGAGACGGGGTTTTACCATGTTGGCCAGGCTGGTCTCACCAGTCCTGACCTCAAGTGATCCACGCACCTCGGCCTCCCAAAGTGCTGGGATTACAGGCGGAAGCCACCGAGCCTGCCCAATTTTTGTATTTTTAGTAGAAATGAGGTTTCACCATGTTGGTCAGGCTGGTCTCAAACTCCTGACGGCAGGTGATCCACCTGCCTCGGCCTCCCAAAGTGCTGGGATTACAGGCGTGAGCCACCGTGCCCGGCCTATATTCCTAACATTTTATTTCATAAGCTAGGTGGTGAATACATAGATGCTCACTATAGTCATCATTCCTTATATATTTTCGAATGGTTTATACATTATGTGACAAATTTCTTGGAAAGTCAAGTTGCAGAGCAGTATTATAGTATGACCACATTTAGTAAAATAAATACAGCTTGGATATGGCAGAAAAAGATAAATTGTTATGTCTAAAACTTGTAACAACAATGGTCTCTGGAGGGGCAGTGTTAGAAAAGCAAGGAGCCTGAGGAGCCCCTTCTTTCTTTCTTATTTTTATTTATTTAATTAATTTATTTATTTATTGAGACAGAGTTTCGCTCTTGTCGCCCAGGCTGGAGTACTATGGCACGATCTCAGCTCACTGCAACCTTCACCTCCTGCGTTCAAGTGATTCTCCTGCCACAGCCTCCCTGGTAGCTGGGATTACAGGCCTGCACCACCATGCCTGGCTAATTTTGTATCTTTAGTAGAAACAGGGTTTCACCATGTTGGCCAGGCTGGTCTCTAACTCCTGACCTCAGGTGACCCACCTGTCTCAGCCTCTCAAAGTGCTGAATTTACAGGCATGAGCCACCGCACCTGGCCTGCTTTTTCACTTTTAAATCATCTTTATGATATTTAAAATAAAGCAAAAACTTTCAAATATTCTTCTGTAAGCCCATTTTCCCCAGCACAGACCACTGCGTCTCTTACCCCAGAATCTTGGCACAGTCATCATAGTATTTCATCGAGTTCTTGACAAAACTAAAACCATTGACATCACACACAAAGGAATGACCATTGGCACGAAGAAGGTCAAACCCACAAACTGTTTGCTGCAAGGAAAAGAAGAAAGATGAGAACAAGACAGTTACTCTTCCTGGACCCCTGTTCCTTCCTTTCTCCCTCATTTCACAACCTCCCTGGGCCCTCCTCTACCTTGAAAGCTACGCAGACTTTCCTGGCCACCAGCTTTTCCATGGCAGTCAGCATGACTGGATATCGAATCTCTTTCCCCTCACTGTCTCGTTCAACCTTCCCATCCAAAGCTGGAGACTTTCTAGCTTCAGCATGGGCATAATCTGGCCCCACTGTATACACCTGCAGGTACATAGCATCACTGAGTATGCCCACAGCTCACCCTGTATATGAGAAGACAATATGAGCACTAGGTCTGTAGACTAGTTTCAGAGTAAAACAACAACAACAAAAACAAAACCAACAAATCCTGAGCATTAAGGGGACTGACCAACATTTTTCCTACTGAGCCCTACTCAAGTATCATTACGAATTTCTCCTCGGGACTCCACTACTGTCAGACAGTCCTTATTAAACAATAATTTACCAACATTATACCATTTTTCTAAGTCAGCCTTGCCCTTGCTCTGATAGTGAAAATGTGAATGTCTGAATCCTCCACTCATTAACTTCACCTGAATATGAAAGCCAATCACATTCACATCATGTTATTTTCTAGGACCTCCTCCCCATATACTTCCACCTGCTTCCCAAGTACCCCATCCCCACCCAGACATCTGTAACCTCTTAGATCCCTGTATCCACCATAACCTTGACATCTGTGCCATCTGTTGGCATAAATTCCTCATAGATGTACGACCCCGTCTTTCGGACGCTGCTCTCAGGAGAGTAAACACTGCTTCGGCTGCCAATCTTCAAGAGAAAAAAAAAGAAGAAAAAACAATGTTGCCTCAACTCTCTCTTCTGTCCCCAAATTCTCCATCTTCCTTCCCCACGACCTCATCCTTGCCCTTTTACCTCTCTGACTCTCCAGATGCTCAAATGTCTCCCCTACCTTACGAAAGAGACGCTGGCTTCCTCCTCCAGCTGAGCTGGGGTAGTAGATGTAAACATTGTGGTCTTCTGCACTCACTGGTTTCTCCACAAAGGGCTTGGGAAAGACAGCTCCATTGACCTCTACTTGGTCTTCACCTTCTATCAGGTTGCATTCTGAAAGGTGGGTGTGTGGTCATTCCTATGGCCTATGGTTATGGAATATTACTAATTCTCATTTCCCCAGGTTTTCATCTCTATAACCCTCAAATTTTTATGACCGTATCTTTGTAATAGATGAGGTAAAATCTCTATATAACAGGTCCAAGACTCTGTCCGAAGACTTATGGCTCTAACCCCACCCATAACCCAATAACCAAAACCCCACATAGATAGGTGGTATATAGGAGATGTCTAGAAGATGGAAACGTGGCTAAGTCATAGAAAGCAAGGAAAGGCAGGACTAACCCTCCCTCAGGCCAGGTACTCACCATCAGGCCGGGCAGGATCACGGTTGAGCACAGCATATCGAGGCAGATCAATACCCTCTTCCTGCAGGATCCGGTACACCTCCCTCCTGTCACCCCCAAATAAAATAGCTGGGAGAGGTGGGAGTAACTAAGGGGAGAGCCTGGGGATTTCATTTGCACAGGATTAAAAGACACCAGGGCACAAAATTATGGTACAAAAATTAGGCATGTTTGTTTGACTCTGCCCTTCTCAGAGTGGGTTCCCTGAACATGCATGATCCCAAAGCCGCCCATCTCACTGGTCAACAGGAAGTTATACCTATCTTGGATGTAATACTGCATGGCCAGATCATTGATAAGAAAGGGGTTTCGAAGCTTGGAGTAAGCAACAGCTTTGTCCAGAGGGAAGCCTGGAATGGAGACACAAAATAAAGAGACAAAAGAAAGGGAGAGAAAGAGAACGAGAAATGAGCAAGAGAGACAGAAAGACATATTAAAGCGACTAGCTGCCACTGAGCTCCTCTACCCATTCAATCCATCACTTATTCTTCTGCCCAGCTCCCCAAGTCTAGGATATGTATCAAGAAAAAGTAAAACAGAAATTATTTTTACAGTCCTTCCAGAGACCCAACTCTGTCCAGAGATCCTAAGAGACTTAGAGTTGTCCTGAGGTTAGACTATAGGCTTTAAATCCCCAGCAACTCCTCCAAGATGCAGGGAAAGCAAACTCCTTGGCACCATTCTCTAGTGTGTCACAAGTAGCTGATGGCTGTTTACTAAGGAAATAAGACAATAAGAACCTCATGTCCCAAACCAGTATTCCCACCACCATTCCCTCCCATTTTCCTTCCCAGACCCCAACCTTTGGAGTGGAAAGAGATGAGACAGTGGCAGGATGGCCAGTTTTCCACAGGTTCATTAAGGATTACATCTTCTCCCAGAATGATAACAGTCAGGTAGTCAAATCTGCAGAGTCGCTCTAGGATTTGAGTCATTGGCTTGGACTTGGATTTCTTGGTCATGGCACAGATGCCAACAATGATCTGAGGTTCAGGAGGCTACAGAGAGGAAGTGCTATCAGAAACTCAAGAACTTTCCACCAATATCACCCCCTTCTGGGAACACTGTCTTATCTTCTTAGGGCACAGAGTTTCTTGCCAGGACTCTGGACCTATGGGATAAAGGGTGCCTCCTAACTTTGATCTAGGTTGGGGCACAGCTAGGGATTCCAACTGCCTACAGAATAGGAGCCTTTCCACAACAGGAAATACGTGCTCAAGCAGGAGAGCTAGAGAACCAACAACCATGAGACAACAGGAAGATCCTAAGGGCAGGGGTTTCTTTTTTTCTTTTTTTTTGAGACGGAGTCTCACTCTGTCGCCCAGGCTGGAGTGCAGTGGCATGATTTCTGCTCACTGCAACCTCCAACTCTTGGGCTCAAGTGATTCTCCTGACTCAGCCTCCCCAGTAGCTGGGATTACAGGCACCCACCACCATGCCCAGCTAATTTTTGTATTTTTAGTAGAGACAGGGTGTCACCATGTTGGACAGGCTGGTTTCGAACTCCTGACCTCAAATGATCCAGCTGCCTTGGCCTCCCAAAGTGTTGGGATTACCCACACCCGGCCAGGGCAGGGGTTTCTAAGAGAGGCAACCTAACCAATCTCTACTGCCCCTCCCCTAAACCAGGATAGGGCCTGTTTATGACAGGGAGTCTATGCATTTGGAAAGAACAGAGAGGTATCTCCAACCAATAGAATCTTAATTCTCGAGGACAGAGACTCCAACACCAAGTTATATCATTTTCCCCATTCTTACCACTTCATCCTCCTCGTCCTCAAGGAGCTCGCTGTCACTCTCTTCTGGCCTCATGCCTATTCCACGGGTGCCCAGCCCCTCATCTCCAGCTCCAAGGAAGAAGTGGGCAGTGGTACTCTCGCCCTCACTGGCCGTCAATGACCACATCCCTGCCGGAACACCCACTCATCCCGCTCTGCAGAGGGGGGTACCCCATCAGCTCAGAACCCAAGCCCCCTGGCAGTGGGTGGGGATGGGGATGGAGATGAAAAGCATAAGAGGGAACTATAAGGGGAAACAAAACAAAGCTATAGGAAGAAGGATCAACAAGAAAGGAGGCATATGGGCTATGACTTCAGATGCTAAAAGAGCCATAAAAGAAAAACCAAGGTATCCCTTTTCCTCCCTGCTCACCCCACCCCAACCAGTAAATTAGTAAGAGGATCAGATAATCAGCCCTTACAATGCCTGCATGTCCCTGATTTGGCCAGCAAGAAACATTAACTTCAGGCAGCAAATGGGAAAGGCAGGTCCTCAAGGAAGGCTACTGTTGAGTCCTACCAGAAGAGAAGGTTAGAGTGACATTTCAAACTTTGACTCATTCCACAATGTTCCTAGTCCTTTTCCACCTCCTCACAGTAGTGTTGAATTCAGTGATTTAATTCAAAGGCAGAGGAATGAGAGAGCTCAGCTGCCTTTCCCCTTAAACCTCATCTTCATTCTTCCCAAAGATTCACTCAAAAATATTTATTGAGGGTACCCTACATTCTAAGTATTATATCAGAACATTAAGGCCAGGCACACTGGCTTACACCTATAATTCCAGTGTTTTGGGAGGCTGAGGAGGATGGATCACTTGAGTCCAGGAGTTCGAGACCAGCCTGGGCAACATGTTGAAACCCAGTTTCTACAAAAAAACACAAAAATTAGGCAGGCATGGTGGTGCATGCCTGTAGTCCAGCTACTTGGGAGGCTGAGGCAAGAGGATCATTTGAGCCCAGGATGTGGACATTGCAGTGAGCCGAGATCACGCCATTGCACTCCAGCCTGGGTGACAGAGTGAGACCCTCTCTCAAACCAAAAATTAAAAAAATAATAAAACCCCCATGCTCTCTCTCTTTCATCTACTCCACCTTAAAAGACAGTTGCCCAGCCAGATGCCATGGTTCATCCCTATAATTCCAGTATTTTAGGAAGCTGAGGCAGGAGGATCGCTTGGGCTCAGGAGTTTGAGACCAGCCAGGGCAACATTAGCAAGACCCCATCTCTACAAAAAAAAATTAAGGCTGCATGCAGGGGCTCATGCCTGTAATCCCAGCACTTTGGGAGGCTGAAACAGGATGACTGCTTGAGCCTAAGAGTTTGAGACCAGCCTGGGCAATATAGGGAGACAGGACCTATACAAAAGCTTCTTAAA